TTTAGATCGTCCACCATATAATTGTACAGTATCCTGTAATTGAGGTAGCATGGCAAATGGATTATTATGCTATCAGGCATTTTATCCCCCATCTTGGAAAATGATGTTTTCATCCAGGCTTTCGCTATATAAGTTTTTGTCTTTCTTTTTTTCTTTTCTTGGCTTGCTATTGTTAAATTACCATTAACATGATGCTAGACCAATCTGCTGAATTTTTTCTCACTTATAGAGTATATTGCTAACCACGCTTTTTTGCAAACCACATTTCCATAAACCATGAAAAGTATATTCTTGTCACTGAAAAAAAATATAAATTTGAATGCATGTACTTTTTGCATAATAGAAAAACAACAAATCCTACCAAATGAATAGCAGTTACACCCTAATAGACTAAATATTTTAAAATAAATTACATTAATCTGTAATTTGATTTATAGAAGTGGAATTTTACAAATTTTGGCACTCTCTTTCTAGCTTTTGTGATGAATTTTGTTCTTGCCTAGATCTTAATTTGGCATATAGCTGGAATTACCACATTTATAATCAGTCATATATATTCCTTATTGTTAAACACTATTGTTGTGTGATGTCGAAATAAGTTACATATTTTACATATTTTATTTTTCCAAATCCTCTTATCCGTGCAAGAAAATCGTCCGTGCAAGTCTCGATCGCTCACTCTTGCTGTCATTTTTAGGGATATATGAGAACGACCAAAATCACATAGCCATTAAACAACCCTTTAGCCCATAATTTTGAGTTAAAATTAGGTTGTTAGTTGGACTAAATATATTTAGTAATAGTATAGTTTACCTTTTATTCTGATGATCGATTATGTAATTCAGAACCCACTGGTTCTTTCCCTTATTAGACAGGTTATTAAAAGATGACCTTGCTAAGATTAGGACGGCATATTCAACATTCCAACATAGGAAGCCCAGACAAATGAGTCGGCCATTTGACATGACTATACAACTAGTGACGTAACTTATTATATTATTGGGAAGGATGGAAACTCTCGCCTCAATTTTCAACATATTCACAAATTAAAACACAAATTACTATAGTAAAACGGCACGTCGACTGCTAAATGCCTACCGTATGTTTAAGTTGAATAATCAAACTATACTTTCATAATAAAAATAGTGCTGAATTCAAAGGAAAGCGCTGGAAAAACGTACACAAACTTTGTAAATTTGCCGAAATATTCGTGAATACATGCAGGATGTAAGTACCTACCCAAAATGGTGGCGACGGAAGAATCTGATTGGTCGAGAAAGGTAAACAAAGTATCATAAACCAATCAGATTCTTCTGCCAGCCGCCATTTTGGGTAGGTACTTACATCCCGCATGTATTCACGAAAATTTCGGCAAATTTACAAAGTTTGTGTACGTTTTTCCAGCGCTTTCCTTTGGATTCAGCACTATTTTTATTATGAAAGTATAGTTTGATTATTCAAGTTAAACCTACGGTAGGCATTTAGCAGTCGACGTGCCGTTTTACTATAGTAATTTGTGTTTTAATTTGTCAACACGTTGAAAATTGAGGCGAGAGTTTCCATCCTTCCCAATAATATAGTAAGTACGTCACTAGTTGCATAGTTAAATGGCAGGGCCACTGGAGCACGCTACATACATGGTTCTAACAGTAGTTTTGTAGCATATTACATACTTTAATTCATTTTAACACATATCTCAAGTGTTTTACGGATTTTTATTAACTTCAACTCATTTGTCTGGGCTTCCTATGATTCCAAGTGCATTTTTCAGTACAACAAGAAAATGTTCGTACTGAAATTAAAAAAGGGTGAATATACGGTTTAGTATTAGTCGCCGTTGTAGCATTGTAGCATATGCATTCTACACTGGGATGGAAAACAGAAAAGAATTATACTCCTAAATTAGTCTGTTACCATACCTTCATCAATGGAAAGCTTCGTTTGCTTAGATTTTCTAACTTCTTCTGTTGTGTTACGTGTCACTGAAGGATATTATGTAAAGAAATTTAGCAATATACAAGCAGTTAAGTCTGTCTGTTTAAACAAAGTTTGTCGTTATTACGTTATAACGTGTAGAATGCATAAAAGGCTAGCTAGTAGCCATGCGTATTCCTCTCTGTACGAATATACAATGTCGCGGTGCTAAGGCTAAAGTAAAGGCGAATTCCGTTTCAGGGCAAAGTGTTGGGCGATCAACTTTTCGCAAGCACCTTGCTTTGAAATACAGAGAATCAAGCGTAACTGATCCCATAGAATGAACAAATAAATCACAAGATCGCAGCAATACAAAACTTGAACAACATGTACTTGCATGCATTATGGTATGCGCTTATGGATATCTGTAGAAGACGCGCTATAAAAGTTTTTTATTATATAACTATATATAAGGTAGCTAAGTAAAGTAACTTTCATTTTAATTTCAAGTTATATACTTCATCCAAGGTTTAATGATTAAATTTAATTGCAAAGTTAATAACCTCCGAAAAATACGTTTGTTATTAACATTTTTTTATACCATACGTACTCAATAAATAACAGTCCTTATCCATCTCTTAACATATCGTTGTTTTTTAACATAACTATTTTTTTCCTTAGCTTTCATTAGAACGTTCATAACATTGCGATCTTTTAAAAAGTCTGACAAGCAAATAATTTTAATTCCTAAGCGTGATGCCTGCTCTAATCCGGATAATGTGTTTAATGGCATATTGTCTAACTGCTCATGACTTTTCCGGATCATCACCATTAAGCGTGTATTTTGGTTAACCTTCTGTAACAGCTGAAGCTTTTCAAATTTCTTATTGTTGATTTGATCGTCAGTTACAATGTGCATGACTTTCTTGTTTAAAAAGTAGCTAAGAGTAGCACCTCCTTCACACAGTGCTCTTTCGACAATCTGAACAACATTTGCTTTTTGTCGTGGTAAATTCACAAAGAATAATGTACCTCTGAGTTCCAGGGATTGCTGCTCTGTTACCTTATCCGCTAGAGTGGCTCGACCCATGTTATTATCATCATATTCTACGGTAAAAAGTATTTTATTTAGCTACAAACAACATTTACATTTTAAAGAAATATTTTTTAAAATCGCATAACTTAAATTTATTTGAACATTTTAAATTGAAGTTAAAAAAAATAAGAAAAGAAAGCCAAGGGTACACAAGTTGAGCTTCACTCGTGGCTATTGCCGTAAGCTGTCTCCTTCAGTATGCGGTGTCATGTTCTGTGATTTTCGGCACGCGTGCCTTCAGTGCTGTATATTCAACATGTTGAATAATTTCGCACACAATAAAAAATTTGCAAACAGTGTGCGTGCCAAGCACTTCCCTTTCATATGAAAATTGGGATTTTGAATTTGGCAAAACAGTTCAACAGTTTAAATTCCTTAAATTATCCTACATTATTGATAAAGTGCTTGAAGTCACTTACCATCTCTCTCATCCTCGCTGCTTGAATATAATATAGGAAAACATCCTAAGTCGCTGTCAGAATCGTGGTCGAATCCTAGCTCTGACGAGAATCTCGACGTTGTCGTCGCACTTGAAGACCAATTGATTAAACTGTTTACAGATTCAGTGTCTTTACTAATAGGAGTACTAGTTATACTGAGCGCGTCGGATTTATCTGTTTCTGTCGGAAGTTCTTCCAAATCACTAGATGGTATTGCGAAACGATCACTCAGTGCCAAACAAGGACTACTTGTTGGTGTAAGGTCATCTCCTGTCAAATCACTTGTATTTATCTCATCCATTACAGGATAACCTTTTGACTCTTTGAAGCTTAAGACTTTGAAGCCTAAGGATCAAATTACTATCAAACTTTACCGCTGTCTTTAACACTTCTACGGCAAACTATTGTGATTGGCTCTCGATTGTTTCACATATAGTTTCGTTGTATCAGATTTCACGAGCTTGCAATCGGTTTTTCGTGGTTAAACGAATATCCTGTTCACCTGAACAACAGTGAATGCTAAAGCGAAATCGAATTATTTAGCATGACCTCTACTAGCAAAACCAAAACTTCCCCACGGGAACGATCAGACAAGGCTAAGTGGTGGATAGATTCAGACGATGGAAAGATATATATTTTGAGAAAGAGTGGTCGTGCGAAATCCAATGGAAGTATGTTAAATGAAATAGTTGCTGTGCATCCGTGTAGCACCAAACCAGATAGACTAAAGGTGAGTTGCTTTTGTTTTTTTCAAATCATGTTCAAATACCAGAAAAAAACACCGTTTTATCGTAACAAGGCCTTAGGCGTGTAAGGAGTTTAGAGAGAAAAGGTAAGCAAGCGTCTGTTAGATGAAATCCGACGCTTAGGGCCTTCTTTTTCAGAGTATATTGTTGAAATTAGGACATTGTATGACTAATATCAGAAATTTAAGTCGAAGGTTGTAAGGAGGATTACAATATAGCATTTGTAAAGAAACGTTGATGATTGTGTATCTTGTGATTGCCATATTGTGGGTCTCCCACTGCGTGAAGAGTCTTTTGTCACATTATATTATTACACTGAATTATGTTACCAAAGCGCATGTTGTTCTTGTCGCACGAAATTCGAAAGCGCATGTTGAGAGCGCTTGACAAAATGTCGTCAATAATTGGCGCCTGTGTTTCTGTGATGGCTCAGATTAATAAATCGTTCAAACTAAGTTATGCATATGCCCTTTTTGAAAAAGTGTTAAATCCGGATACGGCGGCCATCAGACACCACTTTGCTGCCAAATCAAAATTAATTTTGATACCTATCCAAACAACATTTGGTCACTTACTATAATACGCACTTTTTTAGATTTTGTTTAATGGTAAAGATGAGCCATTGCTCTTCAACCTGCAGCTATTTGATTTTACTGGCAACGAGTTTTCACGAACCTTCGCACCCTTTTCAAAGTCAACTAAATCTTGGGCTGAATGCTTCAAAATAGTTCTGTCTGGAAAAGAGAGTGATCCTTTGCCGGAAGAAGGCTGGGAGTCTGAGGATGATCAAATCCATGTCAACGA